CCCACTCCCCCTTGCGACTTAGGACGCGTCATAACATCCCAAGCGACCAAATGCATCTTGGACTTCTCTTCTTCATCCTCCCAAATAAAGTCTCTATTAAGCTTGTTGATTGACTTGCACACGTTGCTGGGGAGGAGTTCCGTCTGCATGTTGTAAACCGGAAGGGAGGCAACAACCGATTTAGCCAGAGTTAGACGAGCTGCAAAGGATAGTCGCTTCGCCTTCCACGGAGCCATGCGCTTTTGGATGCGCAACAGGAGGCACTGGTATCGCTCTCTTGTGACCCGCTCCTGGATAACTTGAATGCCAAGGTACCTCCTCAAAGCCGCCTTCAGCGGAATCCTGGCACGCAGACTCAGTCTGGTAGCTTTCCTGCGAGCAATGTTAGGGGACACATACAAAATAGACTTTTGGTAATTCACCCTCTGGCCAGAACTGTAGCAGAAAACCTCCAAGCATTCTTTGACAACATCTATCTATCGTGACTCCGCTTCCGGCAAACAAAAGAAGGTCATCTGCAAAGAAAAGATGGGTCGGAGATGGTCCGTTCACAGAGAGCTTCACCGGTTTCCACTGTCCATTGTGAACAGCATCATCAATCCTGTGAGAAAGACGCTCCATACACAAAATAAAAAGGTAAGGGGAAAGAGGATCTCCCTGACGAACTCCTCGAGAAGGGGAAAAGGGTTGGGAGAGCTCCCCGTTCTAGAGAATCCGCATTCTGTTTTGCTCCACGCAGTACATAATACAGTTGATCCAAGAGCTGGGGAGGCCCACCTCCTTCAAAGTATCCCTCAGAAAATCCCACCTCAACCTGTCATAAGCTTTTTCCAGATCGATCTTGAATACCAGTCCCCCTTTCTTTACTCTCTTCTTCCTGAAAGAGTGCAACACCTCCTGAACTACAAAGATGTTGTCTGCAGTTTGTCTGCCAGGAATGAAACTTCTTTGCCGAGGCGAGACCAATTTCCTCATAATGGGTTTAAGCCTGCTAGTCATAGCCTTCGTGATCGCTTTCAGGCTGACATTATTCAGAGAGATAGGTCTAAGGTGAGTCACTTTCTCAGGCACCTCCACTTTAGGAATAAGGACCAGGGTAGAGTCCGTAACAGCCTCCGGAAGAACCCCTGTAGAGAAGAACGAGCGCCATCTCTGAGATAGCCTTTCCTACCACCCTCCACATGTGTTGATAAAAGGCTGCATGATACCCATCGGGCCCCAGGGCTTGGAAAGGTTTCATTTCAAAGATCTCCTTGTGGATGTCAGCTATGGAGAAGGGACGTAGAAGAGTGACCATTTCCGCCTGAACCAGCTAGGGGAAGGTTCCCTTCGGTAACCTGTCTTCATAGGCTGAATCATCCTGAAAAAAGAGGTTAGTAATAAAATAAAAAACCATCAGGGCAATGGAGTGAGGGTCATTCACCCAGACACCATTCTCGTCCTGCAAAGCTTCGATCTTCTTCCGCCTCCTTTTCAGGTTGGTCTGGTGGTGAAAATAAGCGGTGTTCCGTTCTCCAAACTTCACCCAATTATCCCTCGCCCGCTGGAACCAAAGAATTTCTTCCTGCTCGAGGACTCTGTCAAGCTCTGCTTCCAGTTTCGAGTGAAGCTTCGCTAAGCCAGGGGAGAAATTCACCCCCAGTTGCGATTCCGCTCCTTTGATTCGAGCTAGAAGTCGAGCCTTCTTCTTTTGGATGTTGCCAAAAGTATTCTAGTTCCACTCCTGGAGACACCCTGCAAGGTGAAGAAGAGCATTGGGGAGGGGGATCTGCTCATTCCAGGAGGTAGCGACAAAGTCCTTGAAATTATCATGATAGAACCAAGAAGCCTCCAACCAGAAAGGACATATGTTGGCCAAGGACCCGTTTTGGGAGGTCACCGAGGTCAAAATAGGGTTGTGATAAGACTGCATACGGGGGAGATGGAGCACCGAGGTACTTGGGAAGGCTTCGTTCCAAGCCAGGTTGCATAAGCTCCGATCAAGCCGGCTCGCCTTGTAAGTATGGGGTTGGTCTCCCCTAGACCAGGTGAATTTCGGACCAGAAAAACCAAGGTCCACGAGCACCGCCATGTTGATCCTATCGTTGAACAGTCGACACCTCCTGGCTGTGTTGCTTACTGGCGGATTGGCTCTTTCTTCCAAATCCCGGATCGCGTTGAAATCACCAGTAAGTAGCCACGGAATGTCGAACAGTCGAATCTCGGTGAAAATAATTTCCCGGAGGGGGCGTTGCTCGTTGTACTTAGGGGAAGCATAAATGGCAGTAAGCATCCACGGTCTGTAGTTCGCTTGCTCACTCCGGAGAGTAATATGTTGGTTGCAATCCGATACCACCTCCGCCAAGAGGGTAGTATCATTCCAAAAAACCCAAATACCTCCTCGTCGACCTGTGGCCTCCACCCGAATAGACTTGGGGTAGCCCAACCTATCACGGAGGGAATTAGCTGCCGAGCCGCTAATCTGGGGCTCCAAAAGGATCACGAAATCAGGACGGTGCGTCTTGAGAATAAGTTTAAGCGCCCGGAAAAAGGCTCTGCCACCTGCACCGCCAACATTCCAAGATAGAATTTTAGTACGAAAATTAACCGATATAGACAAGGGAGAAAAAAAAGAGAAAGAGGAGAGGAACGAAAAAACAAAGAGCAGATCAGGAGGTTAGAGGGGTTGCGCCCTCCGTCGAAGGAGGTATCAGATAACGTCCTTCTGGGAGGTCGGACGGTGGCGAATCCCCTGAAACTCCAGTTGATAGCTTTGCCGCGCTTGTCCAGCCATTAATCTCCTGCAGCGTTAGAGTCTCTATTCTCTCTCTTGACTTGTCCTTCCTCTCCTTCTTGGGTGTCCATATTTGGAGTGACTTCATCGGAGGGAATTTGACTGGCGATTTCTGAAGCTGAGCTTTCTGTTTCTTATTCTTCTTAGTTCGCGTAGCAGTCGATGGGGAATCGTGAAGAGATTTTTCTCGGGGTGGAGAAGTTGTAGGCGGCACCTCCACTATTTGCATAACTGTGCCATTGGGCCCAACCACCGTTCGGAAATTGGGCTGCGGGAGAGGGGAGGCCCCATGGCCGAGTTCCTCCTTGGACGGAACCTTATTAGTGTGCGTTTGAGTCAGAGGGAGGTGGGTCGAAGAGGAGGCCCGATTGGCCTCGGAGACCGCTATAGAGACTACACTCGGTGTAGGGTTTCGATAAGGCCCTGGGCCCAAAATACTCGTGCTATTATTCGCTGTCTCCGAGATCATAATGGCTTTCCCTTTCTTTCTTTCCTTCTTCAACTTTTTTCTTCCCATTTCCAACCTTCTTATCTTGGCCTGAGGACCGTTGTTGCGAGACTTTTGGTGGGGACGAGGGCGCGGGAGAAGGGATAAGTCTTTCCTTATTGTTGCTCCCGAATTTCCCCGAGTTGGTTTGATCCCTTGATTTTGATTCTTTACATCAATCTCCGACTTTCCTTTCTTTTCATGATCCCTCGGATTCCGCCGACCTTTGCGTGAGACCAGCATCCAAGGACCGAATCCTGGGTTAGGTTCATCGACGACTTGCTCTGCCGCCTCCGTTGCGGCCGCCGGGCCGGTTATGGCGAGGGTCGCCGGCAGTGAGATCTTGAAAATTTTTGGGCATTCCGCCGCGTCGTGCCTGTTTTTCTCGCATTTAAAACAGACCGCCGTCAAGTTCTCGTACTCCATTTTTTGCCACACATCATCCAACCATATTCGCGGAACAAGATGTTTGGCCAGATCAACCTCCACCGCGAGACGGGCAAACTTCGCACGTTGACGATTGAGCGTGTGATAGTCAAGCTTAATGGTTCTTCCAATGAGGTTTCCGAGAGTTGTGAGGACTTCTTTTATGGTAGAAGTGAATTTTCAACGTCGGTAACTGGACCCACACGATCATCTTCTTAGGGAGAGGATCTGAGACCTTAAAGTGTGGAGTCCATTGTTGAACGACGAGGTAGTGATCAAAGATCACCCACGGGCCATCCGTAAGTGCTCAAAAATAGTCTTGTTCATTGTCGAGTTTCACCAGAAAGCAGTCGTGATCGAGGTCCAAGATCTCCATATTACCGCTGGTTTCCAGAGACTGCGCAGGCGGGAGCATAACGTAACAAATCCAATCTTGAGGCCAAGCAGCCGGACAATCAAAGTGCGTTGCCACGACGCACAGATCTTGTTCTTGAAATCAGTAGAGACATTTAGAGTAGGTTCCTCGTTACGCTCGCCTGGTATGAGGTCGTTAGCACCCACAGGAGTCCATTGGTTGCCCCCCCCCCCCCCACCCCCAAGGGGGAGGCCGACGCAACTTTCCACCCTGTCACTCTCAATCTAATATGATATGACATAGAATCATAACAAATTAATCAATTACCCAAACCCCTTAACCTTCATTTTTGAATCCCAACCCAAAATCCCAAATTGTAAACCTAAACCCTAATCCTAAATCCTTCGAATTAAAGTAAATTTTGAATGAACTTTTTTCAAATTCATGTGCTTCTTGTTCATAATATCATAAGCAATAATTGATACCGTTTTGACATGAATCGCATGCTCATAATGATAATTATGAGGCGGGTGCACTGAGTGCATTCAATGCACTCGCCTCATAATCGTCATTCCGAGCATGCGATTCATACCAAAACGGTATCCATCGTCGCTTATGATATTATGAACAAGAAACACATGAATTTGCAAAAAAAAAAAAAAAACTCATTTAAGATTTACTTTAATTTATATGATTTAGAATTTAGGGATTCAGAGTTAGGGTTTACAGTTTAGGATTTTGGGTTGGGATTCAAAATTGAAGGTTAATGGGTTAGGGTAATAGATTGATTAGTTGTGCATCTATATTATATCATCACATTAGACTAATACTATCAATTAAAGTTCAAAATTCGATGTATTATGTTCACTTTAAGAATTGAGTGTATTGAGTGCACCCAAAAAAATGAGTGCGCCGAAGTAGTCACTATATATTCTTTTCTATCTATGTTTTGGCGGTGCCCAGGAAGCCCTGTAGTATGGTGGGAAGGCAAGCTGTTGAGTGTTGAGTACATTATTGGCACAGGTAATATGGATGTATGTTCTCGATAATGTGATAGATTTTGAAACATTTTTGGGAGATTTACACAAGAGATCGAAGTGTTGGACTACATAAGGCGACAGTAACACAAGGTTGAGGTGTAATGTGTCCAAGAAGTCATGGCCGTTGCGTTTTCATTTAACGGATAATAATTATCAGCCTTTTTAAACAAAGACGCTACATAACAAATTTTTTTTTTTTTTAGTATTTCAATCGAAAAGAAGTTTGGTGACTGTTTTGTAATAACTTGTAAAGCTCGCGGACTACTTTGTCACGAGCACAAAAAAATAGCGTGACCTCTTCAGTCCCCCTCCAAACACGACTCTTCTCATCTACTAATCTAAACCTTTCTTTCTTCACCCTCCTCTCCACGCCAACTTCAATATTCACAACACAAAAACGTGTGGGAAAAACAACAGCATCCCATCCCATCCATCCGCAAATCAAGAAGGAGGTGGCGGGCCCACACCCACACAACATGCATGTTTTTTTGAACAGAAAGTTAAATCGAAACGAAACAAACAAAAAGAGAAAGAGCGAGAAAAAAAAAAAAAGAAAAAAACTCGTGGGCCTAATTAAATCCCAATCCGCAGTTCAAAGAAAGAACGTGCCTCTCACCTCCTCCCTTCAACCTACTAGCTCTCTGCCCTTTGCTTTACATATATAAAAATCCCCCTTCCTCTTCCTTCCTCCATCCAAATTCCCATCCATCTACAAAGAAGAAAAAAAATCCATCTCCATAACAATCGAACAAGGAAGGAAGAAGGAACAGTGGTGAAGAAATTGCTGATGTCTCCGCCGCCGGCGTCGGAGAAGTCCACTTTTGCACAGACCTGCAATCTCCTCAGCCAGTACTTGAAGGCCGGGAAGGCCAACCTGGGGGATATCGGCCTCGCCGCTAAGCTCGATCATCATCAGCCTCCTGTTAATCACAACAAATCATCAGGTAATTAACGAATTGTCCATCTTAATAATTAATCAATCAACCTTGAGATGGAAATGAATTCAGATCTGGAAAAAAAAAATCGTGGTTTGTTTGTTGTTTTAATTTTTTTTTTTTTAAATTATGCAGTTGCTGCTGCGCCGACCACGACGCTGGACCTTCTGCCTGGCATCGGGAGCTCCTCCCCCAATCGGGAGGCGGAGAGCAGCGAAGGGAAGCCGTCGCCATCGCCGTTGCCTCGGTTCGCCGGGTATGGATCTACGGCGGCTGCCGGAGGAGGAGGAGGAGGAGGGGCTCAGATGACGATTTTCTACGGCGGGAAGGTGATCGTGTTCAATGATTTCCCGGCGGAGAAGGCCAAGGAGATTATGGGCTTGGTTTCCGAGCAGCAGGGGATAATTACTAACAACAATTCCCGCGAGGAGCAGATTCACAATAACGCGGCGCCGGCGGCGGTGGCTTCCTCTTCTTCGTCCCCGAACGACGGGCAAATAGAGCAACCGATTTCCCACTTCCGGCCGCCGCAGCCTCGGCCGATGGGGTCGGACCTGCCGATTGCCAGGAGAGCTTCTCTTCACCGCTTCTTGGAGAAGAGAAAGGACAGGTAATCATTAATTAATTAATTAACCTCTTTGTAAATATTCATTCTCTTTCTTCTTGTAATTAACGATAAGTACTGGCCGCTTAATTCTGTTATATTAACCATCCATCCTTGTTAATAATCTCAGGGTTACATCGAGAGGGCCGTATCATCAACTCGAGTCACCCAAGCCTGCTGACCATGGAAACAACAACCCATGGTTTGACCGGCAGATGAGCCAATCGGCTAAACAGCTGGAGCTTAGCTTGTAGGGTTTCCCTTAATTACTCGATTAATCCTGATGATTAATTAGAGCTTTTGGATTGATTAGATGTTCTAATTGGCTGTTAATCTATCTACTTTTTTATTTTATTTTTTACTTCTACGTATATACATTTTTGTACATCGAATCCAACTCCAAAGCCTTGGAAGTTGATCTGCTACTATTATATATACAAATCATCTCGGCACCTTTCTTACTAATTATGGAGTATGATTCGGCTACAAGCAAGTAATCTAATGTCACGTCTAAGATCATAATCATGGAGCATTCTCTGTATCTAACGATGTATTATTTTTTTCAACGATGAAAGAGAAAGTTTGGGAAGGTCGTAAAGATGAACCATTTAAAACATGTTTTCGTGAAAGCATATAATAATTTATTTTGAGTTATGCTTTTACTATACTAATGAAAGCTACTCCCCACCAACTCAGACCGGCGTCGACACTTAAAAACACTTAAAATAAATAAATGCGTTCTTTTGGGGGAATACCATCAGAAGAAAGGCCATTATTAAGTTGTCACTGTAAAAAGTGCGGAACCTGTAACGCATCTTGTAATTGGTCCACATGGCCTATATGTGTCAGTGGTTATATTCTTTCTTTTTTGTAAGAAGGTAGACGCTAATAGCGTCTCAGATCATATATTAATAAACTGTGTTTGGGAAATTTCCATAACATCGTGCTCTAACCACCTACAAACCTCAGGGCTACACACATCAACATGATGTTTTCCAAAAGGTAGGCTATGGCCAAGACTAGCAAGATAGTCAGCCGCTCTATTTCCTTCCCTATACACGTGTGAGATAACAACATCCCAGTCACGATTCAAAACATTACAGACATGTTGCGCAAGAAGGCCATGTCTGTGATCATCATCCGAACACTTCCTGATGATTGACACTGTAGTAGAGGAGTCAAGATTGAGATGGACTTTACGATAGCCTTTGTCCCAGGCCATCTGAAGACCCACCACTGCTCCTTTAAGCTCTGCTGCAGTAATCGAGCAGTTCCCTAGGTTGCTGGCGAAGGCCGCATAGCATCTTCCCAAGTAGTCCCGAATTAGGCCTCCAGCTGCTGCTTTTCCTGAGGGAGAGAGGACAGAACCATCTGTCTGGATTTGTACCCATCCCTTAGGTGGAGGATTCCAACCGATCTGCTCTTCTCTCAACAGGTGGAGCAAAACTCTTCTCCACGTTCTGTTGAGCCATCTTGTAGATCTTGAACCAGGCTTCGATCCTGCAAACAAGGGCTTTCGCCACAAAATTTTTCAATCCAAACATTCCTCATTTCTCTGTTTCCAGAGATGCCACACAATTAACCCGAATTCAACCCCAAGGTCAGCATTATTCAGTTTGCGTGCCATCCAAGCCTTGAAAGGCAGAGTCTCATCCTTGCAGGTGACTCTGGATCTGAACTTTTCCCAAATGCACTTCGTCTTGCTGTAGCTTCTGACAATGTGTTCTGTGGTTTCTTCAACGTCCTTGCAATGGCGGCAGGTTCCATCAGTGGTGAGCTTCCTCTTCAGCAGTTCCTTGTTAGTAAGCAGCCTGTCATGCATCACCAACCAGAGAAAATGTTTGGTTCGACTAGGTCCGCCCACCTTCAGAGATTTTTCCAGAGGTCATCATCTGTGGCATCCAGTTGGTCAGCTGCCAGCTTGTAGGCCGATTTCAAGCGAAATCTGCCATCCTTTTCCAGTTCCCAGATGCATTTATCCTCCCCTAGATCCTCTTTGGGAGGTTCAGTTCCTGCAATCAGAGCCAAAATGTCAGGCTGAAAGGGTTGTTGGAGCTTCGGCCAGTCCCAATCTCCCAAATCGTTCGTCCAGTCCGCCACCACTGAGTCCTCATCACTTAGAGCAGCGTCCTGCAAGAGGTGATCTTTAAGGAGTAGGTCATGCTCCAGCCACGGGTGATTCCAGAAGCTGGTGGTTCTCCCATTCCTGATGCTCCAGCTTGTGGCACTCTTCATGAGAGGCATGACTTTCAGGATTGCTTTCCAAAGGCTCGAGTGGTTGCTTCTTTTCATCGCCACGATCTGTCCATCTTTGTGTTTGAAATATTTACCTTGCATAACCTGCACCCAAAGGTCAGAGCTATTGTTAAGTATTTGCCAGGCAAGTTTAATCATGAAAGCCATGTTTAAACTTCTAGCCAATCTTAATCCCAGTCCCCCTTGTTGTTTAGGTTTACAGACATTTTCCTAGGAAATCAAGTGCACTTTCTTTTTATCATCCCTTGACCCAGCACAAATTGTCAGATTTTCTTGTCAATTAAGTCACAAACAGAGGCAGAGAGAAGGGTGGTCTGCATAAGTGGGAATGACGTTCAAAACAGAGATGACAAGTGTAACTCTTCCTGCAAGAGAGAGGGTTTTAGCCTTCCAAGAGGTTAATTTTTTTATCAATTTTGTCGATGAGATACTTATGGGTGTTCCTAGTGATCCTACCGTGCAGAACAGGCACCCCTAGGTATCTACCTAAGTCAAGAGTCGATTGGATTCCAAGTTTTCCACAGATATCTCTCCTATCCCTATCTCTAGTGTTCTTAGAGAACACGACTCTGGATTTTTCCTTGCTCACAAGCTCGCCTGAGGCATCACAGAATCTTTCCACACAGAGGTTGATGATTTATGCTTGCCTCAAGGAAGCTTCAGCAAAGAGGACCAGATCGTCCGCAAAAAAAAAAAAAAAATGAGACAGGGGTGGTCCTCCCGGAGAAAGACAAATGGGTTTCCACTTCTTCTCACTAACATCATTGGTTATGCAGTGTCCTAGTCGTTCAACACATAAAGTAAAGAGGTAAGGGCTAAGAGGGCATCCCTGTCTAAGGCCTCTGTTGGGTTCGAAGCTCTATGTTTCCCCTCCCTCCCAAAGAACCTGCATCTCCACTGTGTTGACACACTTCATGATTATCTGAATAATGCTATGAGGGAGGCCAGCCAGGGTGATAGTTTCTTCTAGGAAATCCCAGTCAAGTCGATCATAAGCTTTTGCGAGATCGAGTTTGAGGAGCATCATTGATATGATCCTAAATTGCCCACAATTCACGTCACAACTACTTAACAAAGAAGCTATCAAAGTTGGGAAGAAGAAAGGCAGAATTTGGCTAAGTCAAAATCCGTGTTCAGGGTACATACTTTGGAGGCATGGTTCTCTCAATTGGCTTAGTGGAAATTCAATGTTAAGGTTTTGTATTGTAGATAAAGTTTCCATCTTTCCAATGGTATGCTTTGTGGATCCAGATGATGTCATTAAGGTTGTTTTCCAAGATCACAAAGTTGCTACCTCAAAACTGGAAAACTGCCAGAAAATGGTTAAGTCTGGAAACTGTTTTGTGAAGCCTACTTTGGAGCTTGATTCGAGGAGTATGGATCTGATTCAAGACCAAAGGCTTCCACAACATGAAACTAGGTATGTTTATGTACAAAGGAAAGGAATTGGATGAAGGATTGGAGTTCGGGAAGGCTTCGAACGAATGACACGAAGTTACTACGAAAGCTGCTTTTTGACTGTTTGTTGGCAGCTTACTTGCTCTTCAAGAAAGGGAGTTTAAACCCGAGTTTTGTACTGTTTTTAGAGTTTGTTTTTACCATAATTGTTTCCTAGTTACATTAGGTTTTGTATTAGGTTTTATTGGCTATAAATGGCCTTCTATTTTCGTTGTAAAATTTAGACTTTGATTAATCGAAATTGAGAACCGTTTGGTTTGTGCAAGTTGCGACTTGTTTTGGGTTTGGTGGATTCCAAACTTGCTGAGCTTGTGTATCGATTGAATAGTCACTTCAATCGTGGTCGAGCAACTACCCTTTTATACCAATCGAGCTATCCCCAGGTGTGGATTTGTCCTTTTGGTTCCGTTTTATCCAAGTTAGTATTAAGAACGTGTTGTTCTTGATTTGAGCTCAATCGATTCTTCGATTGAGTCGTTTGCTGCGTGACTTTGATAAACACACACCCCCAGGGGCCTATTAAGTGGTATCATAGCCCCGTTCAAGTCAGTGGCGAGAAGGATTGATCGAGGCTGTATTCGTCGAATTAAATCGCAAAAAAATCAGAGGAAAGCATAGTAACAATGGCGGCAACAGAGTTAGCAAATTCCATGACTTTCACGCGTTGCTTAATCGAGGAGCAGCTGTGTTTAGCTCTCGTGGATGGAGGCAGGGAGAGGAATTTGATTTCCTCTAGAGTTGTGAGCAAGCTAGGGCTGCAAACACAGATGCTTCCGAAGCCCTATGTGTTCGAATCACCATACGAAAACAGATTCGGCATCGTAGTATCTCAGGTGAATGTGAAGTTTTCGATAGGCCAATACGAGGATCACGTTACGTGTGACGTGGTTTACAATATTCCCAGCAGCATTGTTCTTGGTCAGCCATGGTTCAGTAAGCGTCACGTTCGTTTTGAGAGCCGACGGAGCAAGAAGTTTCGACTTCGGAGTCAAAACAAGGTATTCGTCGTAAATCCTTTGACTCCAGAAGCAGCTACTGACGACTTAAAGGAACTACAGAGACTCCAGGAGGAGTATCAGGAGGGTTTGTTGGCAAAGCCATGGCCGTGGAAGGTTGCTCCAGCAACGACGCCGATCAGAGTAGACGAGCTTTGTTCGTTGAAGGCAGTCCAGAGTGGAGAAGAGAACAAATCGGACAGTGACGTTGGGGAAGAGTCAAGCAAGCCCAATGAATCCGAGACGATTTTTGACACCACAGGAGTGGATTTGTTGGAAGGAATCGACGCAATCCAGGTCGAGTCGATGAGCTCAATTCAAACTGGGCGCCCCTGTTTTCCGACGGCGATGCAGGGGAAGAAAGAGACTGAATCGGTTGGAAGTCTCGGAGCGGGGTCAGATCAAAAGGCCGACGTTGACACGATCGTTGAGAAGCCGGGAAGGTGTAGCAATGGCCAATTGGATTCGAAATGCGTCGAGTCAAAAAACCCCAATTCACAAATTGTGAGTCAAAACGTGAAGAGCAACGAGGGTGAAAAGAGTGAAACGGTTGTGGATTTTGGGAGTAAATTGACACAATCCAATGCTTGGAAAAGGTTAATGGAGTCCCAGGCGAGGTGTAGGGAACGAGACATTGCCACGAAATTTCCAGATTCTCAAACGCCCAATTTTTGTTTTAGCTCGCCGGAATCTGGGTTTGAGCTGCCGGTTTCTGGGAAATTCGAACTTCCCGATGGCGGCAAATTCGGGACTCTCAATTGGGGCCGATTTGGAGGGGCTAGAAGGTTGTTGATGGATGAAATAGATTCATGGAAGCCATACAAAGCGATTGAAGGCAACGAATTGGAGCGAAATGGCATGAATCGGAAACGCCCAAAACTGGAAGAATCGCCGGCAACGGACGAAAGTTGGCCGTGTTCTGGAAATTCGAAACTTACTGGTGGCGGGAAGAGAGAAGATGATGAATCGACACTTATGGTGAAGATTCGAGACGGAGACCGCTGCAGAACTTCAATTCTAAGCTTGGCGTATGTATTGGTGACCAGGAATTGAGTTGTCGATCCCTAGAAAAGAAAACCCCAAATTTGAAGCTCTCGTCGGCGTTCTTACGCTCGCCGGAAACTGGAAATTCACGACCTGATTCTGGTGACTTGTTCAAAGCGGCGGTGGGATCAAATTTTGCTAATTTTCGTGTGGGAGGAGGCCCTAGGAGTCCCACGAAGCTGCTGAAGCTGATTGCAGAAGGAGTTGAAGATGCAATTTTTGTGCCGAAACTTGTGTGTGAGAAGCCGTTTTATGATCCAATTTGGGATCAATTCTGTGTATGGTTTGCGCAAAGAAAGGCCAAAGTGTTGAGGGCAACACTTTTTCAAGAGGGAGGGCTTGATATGATCCCAAATTGCCCACAATTCACGTCACAACTACTTAACAAAGAAGCTATCAAAGTTGGGAAGAAGAAAGGCAGAATTTGGCTAAGTCAAAATCCGTGTTCAGGGTACATATTTTGGAGGCATGGTTCTCTCAATTGGCTTAGTGGAAATTCAATGTTAAGGTTTTGTATTGTAGATAAAGTTTCCATCTTTCCAATGGTATGCTTTGTGGATCCAGATGATATCATTAAGGTTGTTTTCCAAGGTCTCAAAGTTGCTACCTCAAAAATGGAAAACTGCCAGAAAATGGTTAAGTCTGGAAACTGTTTTGTGAAGCCTACTTTGGAGCTTGATTCGAGGAGTATGGATCTGATTCAAGACCAAAGGCTTCCACAACATGAAACTAGGTATGTTTATGTACAAAGGGAAGGAATTGGATTAAGGTTTTGTATTGTAGATAAAGTTTTCATCTTTCCAATGGTATGCTTTGTGGATCTAGATGATGTCATTAAGGTTGTTTTCCAAGGTCTCAAAGTTGCTACCTCAAAACTAGAAAACTGCCAGAAAATGGTTAAGTCTGGAAACTGTTTTGTGAAGCCTACTTTGGAGCTTGATTCGAGGAGTATGGATCTGATTCAAGACCAAAGGCTTCCACAACATGAAACTAGGTATGTTTATGTACAAAGGGAAGGAATTGGATGAAGGATTGGAGTTCGGGAAGGCTTCGAACGAATGACACGAAGTTACTACGAAAGCTGCTTTTTGACTGTTTGTTGGCAGCTTACTTGCTCTTCAAGAAAGGGAGTTTAAACCCGAGTTTTGTACTGTTTTTAGAGTTTGTTTTTACCATAATTGTTTCCTAGTTACATTAGGTTTGTATTAGGTTTTATAGGCTATAAATGGCCTTCTATTTTCGTTGTAAAATTCAGACTTTGATTAATCGAAATTGAGAACCGTTTGGTTTGTGCAAGGTGCGACTTGTTTTGGGTTTGGTGGATTCCAAACTTGCTGAGCTTGTGTATCGATTGAATAGTCACTTCAATCGTGGTCGAGCAACTACCCTTTTATACCAATCGAGCTATCCCCAGGTGTGGATTTGTCCTTTTGGTTCCGTTTTATCCAAGTTCGTATTAAGAACGTGTTGTTCTTGATTCGAGCTCAATCGATTCTTCGATTGAGTCGTTTGCTGCGTGACTTTGATAAACATACACCCCCAGGGGCGTATTAATCATCCCCTTCTTGCCGATTTTCTTTGCTATACACTTTGCCACCACTTTATACCCCACGTTACAGAGGCTGATGGGTCTGAAGTGGTTCATCGAGTTGAGGGAGTCGGCTTTTGGGATGAGGACCAGCAGCGTCTCATTATGGAGTCGGATGCTGTCAGGAATAAAGAAGCATCTCTGGATGGAGTTGCAGAAGTCCTTCCCCACAAGTTTCCAGCATCTCTAAAAGAAGAGAGCATGGAAACCGTCTTTCCCATGCGCCTTTAACCCATTCATGTCTTTGACGATGCCATGGATCTCCTCCAATGTTGGAACTCTTGTCAGGGGATCCCATTTGTAATTCTCAAGGGTGGGAAAGTTAGCAGAGATGGCTTGCTGGTTGCTTCTTGCTTTGGTAAACAGCTTCACATAGTGTTATCTTGCCATCTTTTGTAACAGGTCTGGATCAGTGATCCACTCTCCTTCTTCATTTTTCAGGCTCATGATTTTAATTCTTTTCCTCCGGCAGAGTGTGCTGGTGTGGAAGAACCTGGAATTCTGGTCACCATGTATGATCCAATTAGCTCTTGATTTTTGGAGCCAGAGTATCTCTTCTTGCCATAGCACATCTTCAAGATCAATCTGAGTCTTCCTTTCCTCCTCCAGAGAAGTGGTGGAAGGCCTTCTCGCATTCAGAACTTCTAGGGAGTGGAGGGCATTTGCGAGGCTCCTTTTCCTTTAGAAGATGTTCCCAAAGACCTTCTTATCCCATTCTTGAAGCTTGCTCGAGAGGTCCTGCAGGGCACAAGGGAGGATCTGGCCACTTTTCTAGGATGAGGAGACAAAAACGCCACTACCCAAACAGACGGAATCCATGAATAGCATCCCATCATCTTTGTATTCTGTTTGTTATTTTGTCAATTCTTAGCTAAAAATTGTATGAAAAATTAAGTGGAATGTCTATTTTATATCCAAACATTTTTCAGGTTCTTTTCTATTATCTAAACCTATCGAAATACTAAAAATTAGCCAAATGTTAACTCCCAGTTAGCAATTTTGTTAGTAATATTGACTTGGCAACATGGTATTGACTTGGAAGAGACTCATGACGGTCAACATTCTAAAATTTTAGTATTTTAACTAAGAAAAAAGTTACAAAATTATTAACGATAACGTAAAAATGACTAATATTTTGATACATTACGAAAGATTTGGCTAATTTTTAATATTTTGATAGGTGTAGATAATATAAAAGAATCCGAAAAAAGGTTAGGATAAAAAATAGACATTGCCCAAAAATTAAAATTGTTGTAAATATCAAGCTTCTTTGTTTTTTTGGCAGAAAATGAAAACACACTGTCAGTCTCCTCGAACTCCCGCTCCGGTGGACTCCCCAACAACGCTTCAAACGTTGATCCCATATCCAAACTCTATCTAACGCCTCCATAGAATTCCCTCACCCTTTCCCCCAAATTTTACTCTGTAAAACAGAGGCCAAAGAACCCTTCACCGACCCTCTGTACCCATCGAACAACGCCTGCCAGTC